TAGGAGTATGATAGGAGGGAAACTGGGACAGATGCAGTGGAAAATGTACACTGGTGAAGGGATGGGTATTGGTATGACCGAAACCCAATTATGAACAACCTTGTAACTATATATATTTGCACAGTGACTAAATTTAAAAAAGAAAAAAGAATAGAGAACATTAACTTGTTAACTATGAGCAGAAATGAAACTTAGATTTCCTTGTATCCTGAAAACAAATGGGAGAATATGGAAAAAAAAACAATTATCAAAATCCTACAAGAAAGATGCAGGACCAAAACATACACAAAGAACAAGCACCTGGGAATATACCAAGGATGACAAGAGACAAACACTTACAGATTGAAGATGAACAAAAATAGGATAAGCTCAAAGAAATCAACATACTCGGAAACATTCTAATTTAAATGCTGAAAATCAAAGGCTATTAAGATTACAAAAAAATCTACTGAGCAGCCAAAGAAAAACGACACAAGATGAATGACTGCAAATCTGTCTCCAGAACCGGAGAGTCCAGAAGGAGGAGACAGTTTTAAGAGGCTTGAAGAACACAACTAGTGACCTAGAACTCTACAGGCAGTAAAAGTATCTCTTAGGAATGAAGTGAAAAAAAAATATTTTTCAACAGAAGGGGGGAAAAGTAGAGAAACCAGCAGCCTAACAACAACAACAACAAACTGCTGAAAGAAGTTCTTTGAAAAGATGGGAAAGCATATCTGGAGATCCTGGAGAGAAGAATCAAGAAAGCAAACCAAACAGAAAGTTCTTCACATGCATCTGAAAATTTCAAGTCACGCCGAGACAGTGTTCTTTGGGGTTTTACTGCAGGTAGCAGTAAAGACAATAGCATGTAGGGATCCAGAGGGTGATGAGAAGTCTCCATTCCATTGGAAGTGGTGCTATATTGATCCGAAGCTGCCGCCAAAGATTGACTGTGGATTTTGGGAGCTTTTCATCTGATCCATCTGTTACACAGCTCCCCATCAATTTTTCATCTAATGGTGTTAGCAGCCATTGATGAGCCATTTCTTCATTAGAGGCTATAAAACAAAGAGACTCCAATTCTCTCATTCTTCCATTAGCTTGTGCCCTCTAATATAAAGGAAGCTTCCAAAGCCAGCTATTTAATTACTCTAAAGTCCAGCTGCTACAGAAAATGGGAGATAAATGCTTGGTGCCATAGTTTTATTTGCTCGTTTTCAAAGTGGTGAGTTAAAGCTACTGAGCACAAGATAGAAGAAATGCAGGCTTAATCCCCCGTGGCCCAACTTGCAGTGGGTATAATTTACTCATTTCTTTGGACAATGTCAAGATCAACAGCTTAACGCCCCCAAAATTATTTGGTAACTGTCTTCTTTTCAAAGAAAAAAAAAAAAACAAACAAACTCAGTAACTCCCTGGAAATATACCTTCATTACAGGAACAAACAGAAAGCCTTTATCCCTACATATACACTGTACTCAGAATCCTTCCCCTACCCAAGGACAGTATTTTCCCACCTTAGGGAACACCAGTTTAAATCAGCAGGGTCTTTAATTATGGCAGAAAGGCTGCAGGATGACATTTATGTGTGTATACAAATAATATCAAAACATGTATGTATATACATTTATATCCATCATTGTTGGGGAACTGTTTCTCCCCAACGTGCCCAGACACGTTGTCCACCGGGTCTGGGCAGATGCGGGGAAAAGGATAACGAGTGTGTGGAGAAACCACTCCAGGAGTAGCTAATGGCCACTCACTTTATTTCGAACTACACACATATATCATAGAGGGTCTTGGCTTAAGAAGATGGTCCAATCACATAAAGTTTAGCATCACTGACCTATCACCTTTCCAATTCTACTTTGCCCCGGCCCAATCCCAGACAAGGCTAGAGATGCTGCAGTTAGGAATGCAGCTAGGTGATAATTCTTGGGGGATGGGTCTCAACACCAGATTCCTGGTGCTTGTAAAATGCGCCCAGACACTCCCTACTGGGTCCCTATTCAGGGACAGGTCTTACCAGCTCTGTCACCATGCTCAGCACATCACTATATGTACACACCCCTAGAGTCAGTAAGATCCCCAGGCACCATATGATGGTTAAAGCAGCTGGTACACAATCGCTAGAGAGCAGAATGAAGTGTGAGAGAAGCATATCCTTGGACAGCAAAAGTCAAAAATGAAATCCTGTTAAAAGTGGTCTTTCCTTTAATCACTCACAGTTTTAAGCCAGTCTCCATACATTATTGGGGTGCTGGGAAGTAACTCTTCACACCCTGTTTCATTTTAATGAGTTTTTTTTTTTGGTGTGCATGTGTGTGTGTGTGTGTGTGTGTGTGTGTGTGTGAGAGAGAGAGAGAGAGAGAGAGAGAGAGAGAGAGAGAGAGAGAGAGAGGCCACACAGAGCTGTGTTCAGATTTGGCTTCTGCCCTGTACTCAGGAATCATTCCTAGTTGAGGGCTGGAACGATAGCACAGCGGGTAGGGTGTTTGCCTTGCACATGACCAACCCAGGTTTGACATCTCTGTCCCTCTCGGAGAGCCTGGCAAACTACAGAGAGTATCCCACCTGCACAGCAAAGCCTGGCAAGCTCCCCATGGCATATTCGATATGCCAAAAACAGTAACAACAAGTCTCATAATGGAGACATTACTGGTGCCCGCTCGAGCAAATTGATGAACAACGAGAGGACAGTGCTACAGTGCTCAGGGGACCATACATGGTGCCAAGGATGGAGCCTAGGCCGGCCACATGCAGGACAAGTGCCTTTCCTGTAGGACTGTGGCTCAGACCCTTGTACCTTGTTTTGGAGGGTGTGGGAGCATAAAAGCGAGGTACCAAGACACAACCTGATGTGACATTCAGGGATACTGGGTACTCATAGGATTCTTCCTGCCCTGGCAAGAAGACAGGGTCTTGTGGAGGGTGAGTCTAATCATTCTCTGCACCCCATTCCTGTACCTCCCTCCCTGTACACATCCATTCAGTGACCATGCCTGAGAGTTGCCATGAGTTCTGGAAGATAAAGTGACACGAGAAAAGTCCAAAACTCACCACCGCCGTGCTGTGCAAGGATAAGGAGACCAGCTCAGGAAGGACAGAGAGCACAGGGCATGGCTGTAGCTCTCCTCCACAGGATCTTCGTCTATTTTTTGTTTTGTTTTGAGGTAGTGCCAGGAATCAAACCCGGAGCCTCACACATGCAAGGCAAGCATTCCACTATGGATCCCAGCCCCCAACACCCTCTGGGAATTAAAACAGAGCCAACTTGGAAAAAAAAAAAAAGAACCAATCCATCCCAACCACCATGAAGTCATTGAAGTGTATGTTTCTGGGGTAAAATAGTTTTCAGAAAAGGACACAAGAGGACAACACATTAGAGAAAGAGGAAAGAGTAAGAGAGGAGAGATGAGAGGAAGGAGAAGACAGAGAACTGGCATATAATTAAAATATGTAAGAGCAGAAAAGAATTCCAAGACTCACTGGGAGAGGAGGAATGCAGGGGAGCAGGGGGAGATACCTGCAAAGAAGCTGGCAAAGAAGAGACTTCAGGTATGCAGGCCAAGAAAGGGGCTGTAAATGATACAGACAGAGACAACTAAATGCACTGGTGGCTTGGAATATTACACAGCAGGTAAAAGGCATGAGCAGGCACCAGTCAACAAAGACTTCTGCTCTATTTACATTGCTTGGATATTTCTTCAACAATATATTCATACATTCTGCATATAATTAACTTACAAATACCTGCGTGTCCCCTTCCCGTCTCCCTGCCTGCTTCAGGTCCTGGTTGTCATGCCCACCATCTACCTCTGGGTGCCATCTCAGGACATCAACGACCTTGACTTTGACCCAGAGACTCCCAATGAATCTGAAAATGGATTAGCTCCGTACAGAGATATCTCTGGACAACAACCATTTACAATTTTAGAATCCAGAAGTGCATGGCCACTTTTGCAGCCACGTGACCTCTCAAAATATTCACAATAAGCAATAGTAAATAAATTATCTAACATCTTCCCCTGGCAGGCAGGCTTGAATAGTGGCAGGAAAAATCGAAATAATGGTGGTGGGAAGGTGTAATAGTGTTGGGATTGGTGTTGAAATATTGAATGTAATCGATTACAATGTGAACAACCTTATGAAAATAAAATTTCAAAAAAACTTTAAAAAAAAGTAAATAACTGCTTGAAAAATGAATGCAAAATGAGAAAAGCATGCAAACAAAAAGCCACAGGGGTGCTGAATAGCTCAACGGATTGGAGGAGAGAGTAAATGAGTCAGGAACTGGCTCTGCCCCCTCAGGAGCTGTGTCCACTGGCTGAGCACCTCTGCCCCTCCTTACCTGCTCATGGGGATGCTATACCAGGACCTGGAGAACCACTGTCAGAATTGAAAACAAAACAGATCCCACATCCACAACAGAGGAGGTCCCCAAAGTGGGAGGGGAGCATGTGCCTACTCACTCAGGAAGTAAGGACGAAATCTGGGGTCTAGGGAGGCAGCTCAGAGACAGGGCATGAGTGCAGCATGAGAGAGACTGGCACGGCCTGACCCCCAATCCAAGCCTGGAATTCTGATGTTTCCCATACCGCCGGCCCTGAGCCTGGGCACTGGATGTCCCGGGGAAGAACCCTCCACCTTAACTGTACTGAACAGATAGAGGGGTCTAGAAAAAGGCAGAGAATTTAAGAACCACCGGAAAATGCTGGAGTGACCGGTAGAAGCAGCACAAGAGGGTGAGGTTCGTGTGGATGCGCAGGGTGGATGGGTATAAGAAACGCGGTTCAGGGATTGGAGCGATAGTAGAGTAGGTAGGGCGTTTGCCTTACACACAGCTGACCCAGGTTTGAGTCCCAGCATCCCATATGGTCCCCCAAGCACCTCCAGGATTAACTCCTGAGTGCGTAAGTCAGGAGTAACCCCTGTGCATTGCCGGGTATAATCCAAGAGAGAGAGAGAGAGAGAGAGAGAGAGAGAGAAACACAGTTCAGAGGGAGCCCCTCACTTACTGCAGTTCTCTTCATCGCTACCATCTGGACAGTCCTCGAATCCGTTGCAGCGGAAGCGGCCGATGATACAGTGAATGCCGCTGGCGCAGGGGAAGAACGTGGGCCCACACTTGGACTTGGCCTTGGCTACAGGAAGAGAAACAATCATTTGTCAGGAGGTTCTATTCTGTGCCCATGCATCATCCCTGCTAACCAGGTATGCAAACACCCGCCCAACCCCTCTTTGGACATTTACTTAGAAGTCCTAGGGCTTCTTACCACCCCTTCTATGTCTGGCGAGATGAGATGGCCACACGAGTGGCCTTCAGGAAGAGGGCATAATCCGACTGTTTGGAAAGTCCCAGGAAGCCCCGTAGCAGCCAAGAGTCCCTGCTGGGTGTAGAGCTCACACCTCAGTGGTTGATGCATCACTCATTCCCCAACGGTCAATGGCATGGTGGTTCACACGCAGTCAGTGCAGACACAATCCGGTATACCCCGCGCATTCTGTGGATTTTATTGCATGATGCGCCCAATGGGAGGAGTAGAGAGAAGAAAGGAGTTCCACTAACAAGCCCAAAATCATTCTCCCAGAAGCCTAGTGCTGCTTGCCAGACCGGCCTATTTCACTAGAAACTGGTATCTAGGATAGACATCCTCCACTTCTCCTGGAGTCCGAATGACATTCCAAGAGTCCAGCAGACCGGGAACACCTACTTTTCTTCTGGGGGGTGGAAAAATTGGGACCAAGCTCTGCAGAGGGGGTCGCCGCATGCACGGTTCCCCCATCACGACTCTGGATGCTGAAGTTCCTGGGAGCTTCCAGGAAGAAACTGTTTCAACATCATGGCTTGTTCCTGGGAGCTAAGTGCATCCCACCTGCACAACCTGCGAAGTGGGGGTGGGAGGGGGTGGAAGCTGGCTCCTGCGCTCCTCCCTACCTCCCTCCATCATCTCTCCTGTCTGCTGGCTCTCCTGCCACATCCCTTCACTGTAGCACAGCTGAGTGTAGGACCATGTACACTGCAGTCTACGCTTCCTCTTCCAGCCCATGACACGGGGATGGTCCTGGGCACCATTTCCCCTCCCCGTGAAATTGAAGGGTATAGTTCTTATCCCCACCTCACGGGTGTATCTGGAAAGATGTGATGACTTCCTCAAGATCACACACTGAGAAAGTCTGGCCTGAGGGGAGGCCTGCTCCAGCACCTGCCACCTAGAAAGTAGCCAAGCTCTGCATCTACTCCGCTGTCCTGCCTCCTTGACAGACACCATCACTTCTCCAACAGATGCCAGAATCCTGCCCCGACAGTCCTCTGTCACCGCCACTGTACAGTTTCAACAAAAACTATTCTGACTACAGCATGAACTGAGCACAGGGCTCAGTTAACATCCTCAGCAGGTGATAGACATCCCCACTAACAGGGCTGACTGGGCTCGCCATGACGAGGTCGAAGAGTGGATTGATCGTGGCATCCCAGGCGGCAAGTCCCATCTTGCTTGCTCACATCCCGCCTCCTATCTTAGAGGAGAGTCTGGGAGCTTCAAGAAGGAAGGGCAATTTCTTTGGAACAAAGAGGCAGTAAATTACCTCCATGTTCCCACCAATAGTCATATGCCAACTTTGGCAGCAGCTGATCCACGAACAACTGGGTTTCAGTACCTGAGACGTGCCTTGGATTCCAAGTGCAGGGGGGAGGGGGGGCTGCGTCTCCACCTGCCATGAGGTATTGGTGCTCAGATACCCTTTTCTGAGCATCCATTTGGGGGGATCGGGAATCAAGGCGGGATTCTTTCTGAGGCCCTGGGGCAGGCTGCTCCCTACTGCTGATTCAGTTTGGTCCTTGGAGACAGCACCTCACAGGGCTCCTGGCAGGATGCCAAGACATGATCTACATCAAATGCTTAGTACGGTTGACGCTCAATAAATGGCATCGCTTGTGCCATTCATCATTAGCATCATCATGATCACCAGCATTAGACCTATGGAATTTTAAAAAACTGATTTAAAATTGATCCTTGGGCTCCAATCACGCTCTTGACTCATCTGATTTGCTGCTGCCTCAGCTATTTCTATTCCAGGTCCAAAGGACTCCCTATCTATCCATCTCTCTACCCATTTATCCATTTATTACCATTTGTCTACACCTCTCTCTAGCCATCTATCCATTTACTGTGTACCTATCCATTTATTTATTGTCTAAATATCCTTCTGTCCATTGTCTACCTATGCGTGCATCCGTCGTTTACTTATTCAGTCAATGTTGTCCCTGCAGTGATCAGGGGACCCCAGGGCCACTCCTGGCGACACTTGACTGGAGATGGGGATGTGGAGCTGTTGGTCCCCACCCAGGTCCCACCCAGCAGTACAAATAGACTATATAAGACAAAGGAAATGAGTGAGGATATGCATGGTTACAAAATAGCTCCCCTGCACTGGACCAGCTCTTGGGCACTTGTACGTTCTTTAGGAATTACTGAAGAGGCTTTGCACCCATCCAGAATGCTCACCTACTATCTGTCAGGGGTGCCTGTTCTCCTACGACTGCCATCTGCACCTTCAAGACTCCTGCTAAGGCAACCGCAGTGGACCTTGGGTGGCCAGGGCTCGGAAAACAGCTGGCTATGGTCAACAGCTGTGAGCTGATCCCTGTCTGAGCAACCAGTTCAGTGAGACTGGGAAGGGAAGGGACCTGGACAAGGTCGAGGTCCTCCACACTCCCATCCTCACCAAAAGAGATTTTGGCATTTAATTTGGCAGGAGACAGAATACCAATGCTGATGTTCAAGATCCCCCCAACACAGGAGGGAATAGGGCGCGTCTTCCATGTCAGTACATACTCCACTTCCAAGGACTTGCTCACAAGACTTGGTCCAGTCTCTCAAAAGCACTCAGACAGGGGCCTGGCTTCCTCTGAAGGCTTAGGTTGCTGCCTGATCTGAGCATTCTCCCTCTTTAGAGCCTGGAAGTCTAAGTTCTAGATATCACAGATGTTTTTAAAACTAGACAAGAGTGGGAGATGAACTCTGAGGGCTGGAGCATATGTCTTGCATGTATGAACCCCAAGTTCAAGTCCTGACACCACATGTTCCCCAGAGCACCACTTCTTGGCCAGGCCTGAACACTTGAGTTCTCTAGTACACAGCAGCAAACCACTGACTGCCATAGCTGGCACCCAGAATCCCCAAACTCTGCTTCACACAACCCCTACCTCCATCCCTCAAAATGTAAAGATGGGAGTGAAGGAGTTCTAGATAAGATGGCAGCCGCCTTACTTAACTAAGAATCTGTGGTAACCTCTTCTTACCATCTTTCTCATTGAGAAATGGCTTTAGCAACTAAAATGCAGAATGTTGTGGGACTAGTATTTGGGGATTATGTCAGAATCAGAGGGAACCCAGAGAGGTCCCAGTGTCCCTTGGTTGGGATGCCCTGAGTATCTACTTCTGGTCTTCCTTTGCGGTAACACTTGGATGCAAACACCAGGCCCTCCTAGGCTACTTAGTAACTAATTGCACAGCTCATGAGAGAGAAAACCACGTCCAAAGAGGCAAGTTGGAACTGACCCAAAGCCAGGGAGCTCCTTAGGATCCGAATGACCCTACATCCAGGTCTCATGCCCGTTGGATTAGCATCTTTTAATTCCAGTCAGTACTTATAATACTGCCAACAGTTTCTGCAAAAATGACCGTAAGCAAAACACTGTCGAATGAACAGCAGGTCCTCACATAACATCGCCTCATTCAACATCAGGCAAGATTTTCCTCTTTCTTAACACCACAAAACAATACCAGGCAGAACAACAGTCTGAGAACGTACTATATATTTGGTCTTTGAATAACATGGGTTTCAAACGTACCAATCCATTTCTTTGTGGATTTTCTTGGAATCATGTAAATTTATGGTGATATGATACTTTACTGTGACCAAGACCTCACTCAGCTCATTTTCCTTCAGTTTTTCACATCAAATTCCTTAACTGTAGTACAATTTATCTTAAGAATACAGAACCATATACCGAGAACATGCAAAATACGATCACCAGCGGTTTAGGTTGTGGAAAAGGCTTCCAGGGAACAGCTGGCTTCTCCTGTCAAACATCGCGGGGAATAAAAAGGCAGATGCAGATTTTCGATTTCTGGGGACAGGGTGGGTTGGCACTCTTGACTGTGGCATTACTCAAGGATCAACAGCTTACTCTGCTTCTGCTAGCAGACCTAGGGACACACAAGCCAAATCTGACCTCTGAATCTTAATCAGGGATCAGATTCAGAAAGAAGGTGATGAGATGGATCATGCCTCTCTGGCCCACCTGGCTGGAAACTCCAAGCCTCAGGTAGAAACACCGCTTAGCACCAAGCCAGTGGTTTGCAATCTGTGTGGGAGAGGCTCAGGACTGCCCAGTGTCAAGGAGGAGGTGGATGATAGCGTTAGCGAGCTGCTGCCTTAGCCTCAGATTCCCACACACTCAAAGCTGGACTAGGGCGATCCGCTCTCGCCAGCCTCCCTTTGCAACCCGCACAGTCATGGTGGCAGCGAACCAGACCTGTGGCACCCCTCAGGCCACGGCAACAGCTCCAGCCATAGATGCAGGGACCGGGGTCTCACCATCAGATAACCTAAATGAGCAGCAGCTGTTACCTCCATGTCCCGTTGGCCTTCAAGTCCTGTTTCAGGTTCCGGCAGGCACATGCCCAAGAGCCCAAAGCAGCAGAGGCAAAAATAAGCTTTTCCACAAAATGACCATCCTCACTTTCCTAAACACAAGGCATAATACACCATGAATCAACCAAGTGACAGAGAAACACACACAGGTGACAGTGGAAAAAGGCCCCCACTGTCAGCAGGTAACTAGTGATGTTACATCGCAAAGCAAGTGCCTAAGGCCTGGGTCTCATCAAGGGTGGGAGTGAGTAGTAGCCTTGTGCATTGACACCATCAGGCTGAACCTCACTGGAACACTACTAAGTAACAAAGAAAAATAAAACCATTAGATCAAATTAAAATTTCTGGAGAAAAAAGGAAGGAAGAAGGCGAGAAAGAGGAAAGGATGAGAAGTCAGTTTCAAGCTTCCTCTCTAGTAGGCAAATGGGAACTGTGAGATGCTGATAAAAGGCAGCATGTCTGCAGTGGAGCAGGGGTACTG